AATAAGATAAAAGATGAGAGTTTTCTACTAGTTACACAAGGACCTAGTAGACCTCTCCAACTAACACAATAACAAACAACCCCTTGCTAGCTAGCTTAGCCTCCTCCCCCCCTGTTCCCTTGAGCTCAGGCGACCTCTTAGTGCGGCCTTCACCACAGCCAATCAAATCGTCTCTGCTAGGTGGATAGCCCACCTACTCTTATTCTCTACTACTTTACTTCCCGTTTCATAACTTTCCTTCTATCTTACCTCTTCTCTCCCTTCCCATGGCAAGCCATTGCCATTTTATCTCCAATATCATCATCATCACCACTCTCTTTTCTACCTACAGCCAGTCTTCAAGTAACACCACCTCCTCCGCTCCGGCCTGGCGGTCCTCGCTCCCGCCGGCGAGCATGGCGACCCACGAGCTGGTCCTCCTCTGAGCATCCTCACCAACCAGCTCTATCTACATAACGCTTGTAACCACGCTGCCACCTCCCAGCACCAAGCTGCACTGTACATCCAATACAATATGTATACAGAGAGCACATAGTGAGTTTCCTTTCTCCATCCCATCCTGAGTGTGAACCAAACATCTCGTACCCCACAGTACCAGGGTAGATGGGATCCTGCCATGACGGGGGACTATTGCTGTTTTTTTACAATCGGAAGACAATATAACGCGTAAAAGGATGAAATAAAATAACAAATGCCCATACAGTGACTAATTTAATACCGTTTGTGTCTTCTTATGATTGTTTTCATTCTCTATTGAATTTTAGTGTGATGACGAGGAAAAAAGTAACAGGAAAAATAAATTTTTAAGTTTTTGTATTTGTAAGCTTTCTTTTTTTTGTATGACAAATAAATTGTATGTGACAGAGAATTTGCATTGCCAGATTTGAAATCAGCACCTCAAAATTACCAATAGGAAGCTGCTCTTAACCATGTTACGGAATTGTTTTTTTAAATTTGTTGCCTAGTGACGTATTGACTGACCCGCGCCCAATTTCCCATAGAAAACGACTATAAAACCCCGCAATTTTACTGCTTTATAGTGTACACTGTACAGTGTCGTAGTTTGTGTAAGTGTGTGATAGGGAGACGACGATACTATCGCCACTCTACAACAGTGTCACCAAGACGTCGATCGCGAGCGACCGGTAAGCTTGCTGTCTGCCATTGATTACTTCCAAGGATTTTAGGATTCTAGGAGAATGGAGCACTCCAGTGGGCAAACGCGTTTACCCCAGCGCCGTAGACGGAAAGTAAAGTAATTAGCTGGCAAGGAATAAAGGGAGGAAGACAAAACCGCTTTTCTATTGTCTTGCTCATTTTTAGCAGCTGCAATGGGATCCAGGTACAGTACTTTTCAGCTATTAAGTGCTCTAGCAACACTCAATCCATCAGAGTACTTGCACAGTTGTACCGTCCTCATATCTGAAGGTTGACGACTATAGTACCTCCATTCGAAACGTTCTCTGGCTGTTTTTACCAAACCTCCAAGGTTTTGTATCTCCGGAGACCTAGATTTTAATTTAATTCATCTATCCTAGTTTCTGCCTTTCCCTAGCACTCCTACCTTCAACTATGCCCAATAAGATTTTTTATTATCCCCTCCCTAATTACGACCATAGTAAGTCATTTACCTTTTTCAGTTTTCTATACATCTCATGTATTTCTCTTGAAGTGTTTGCTAACTTTAGTACTTTCATTTGTTTTCCCGTCAGTATAACTTATTCTTAACATTCGCCTACAACACATTTCAAAGTCCACTAACCTCTTTCTGGTACAGGTACTTGTTGAAAGTGACTACGCTTTTGACCTATATATAGCCTGTCAGCAGCCTTTTTTCTCAAATTGAAGTTAATGTCCTTTTTCATTATTGTTTTTTTTTTTAATTATTAAATGCTGTTTTTGCTTGACCCCTTTACTTCCCCAATACACAAACTTTTCCACTTGTTTAAGTTCCCTGAAGCATACCATAATTATTTTTGGATGAATTTTCAATTTTGAAACATGCATTACTTTCTTTTTTGCCTTAACTCTTAACACACATTCTTCACCTTTTTCCACTAATCTGCTAACCAGCTTTTGTAACGCCTCTTCACTATCCGTGATGAGAGCAGTGTGGGGGTTAACGTGATGTTGGATCGCACTAGGATGGAGGTGAGAAGGGACACTCAGCTATGGCGTTTTCTATATAATATATATATTATATACAGTGCAGTACTAGGGAGTTGCTGTGTGGTGAGGAGCTTGATGAGAGGAGAGGAGGTCTTGTCTGTTTGAGAGCGCTCAGTAGAATGCCTTTCACGAATGAATGAATGAATAAAAGCTAGTGACAAGGGGGAAAGAGGTTCAGGGGAAGGATAAAGGGAGGATTGAAGTGAATTTTAGAAGGGCGAGGCTGTGAGTTTATATACACGTCCACCGGAATTAAGCGTCGCATGTCGGCAGGGTTGTATTCCACATGTGAGACATAACGGGCGGGGGTGTGAACCACTCGGCCGTTACGGGTGACGACTCCGTCTCGGGACACGAGATCTGTGGGAGAAGTAGAGGGAGAAGGAGGGTTGTGGATAAGAGAAGGTTGAACAGGCGAGGAATGTAGTGCTTCTCTCGCGGCAGGTGCAAAGTCCTCAGGGGTGCCGGGTGGGGTGTCTGGGTCCATAGGTCCGGATGCAGGATCCTCATCAGGAGCAGGGTCCACGTCAGGAGCAGGGTCCGTATCAGGAGCAGTAGGTACCTGAGGATGAAAAGAGGGTATGCAGAAATGTTGTGGGTGAGGTGGTGCTACAAGTGGCAATTGTGGGCAGGTTTGTTGGGGGTAATGCTGGGCTGGGGTTCCATCGAGTAAGGTGGCCGGCTACACTCGATCGATGCTGACGGTGTCGTGTCTGCTATTGCGGATGATCGTCAGGAACTTCGCTGACCGTGCAAAAACTGGGAAGGGTCCGTCGTAGGCACGTTGAAGCGGGTTGCGGTGAGCATCGCGCCTGACGAAGACATACTCGGCGTTGAGTAGTGCAGGAGGGATGTGTTCAGGGCAATGGGAAGGCTGGCGTGGGGTAGGGCAGTAGCTTTGAACGCAGAAACTGCTTGTAGTGTTTGCAGTAGGTCGTGACGGGCAGCAGGAGTGAAGTGGTCGAGGTCAGGAGTAGGTGAGAAGTCCCAGGGGAGGCGAAAGGGTTCGCCTAGAGTGAGATCCGCTGGGCTGCAGTAAGAGAAAACGCCATCGCCGAGTTTCCCTTCTCACCTCCTAGTGCGATCCAACATCACGTTAACCCCACAATGGTGACCCCGGAGTGACTCGAACACCCAGATCAGAAGGCTGCTGGGTGTTCGAGTCACTCCGGGGTCACCATTGTGGGAATAACGTGATGTTGGATCGCACTAGGAGGTGAGAAGGGACACTCAGCTATGGCGTTTTCTATATAATATATATATTATATACAGTGCAGTACTAGGGAGTTGCTGTGTGGTGAGGAGCTTGATGAGAGGAGAGGAGGTCTTGTCTGTTTGAGAGCGCTCAGTAGAATGCCTTTCGGCGGCGGCGGAGTCATTAGTTATGAGGTGAAAGAAGATTATTAGGGGTTGAAGAAAAAGTGATGAAACTGAAATACAGTAGGCGTAGAAAGAATCTGGGCTCAACCAGATCGCTTCATCTTTCCTATTGATGTTTTATCTTTGTTCTGCTCCCTTGGGTCGACATACCTTTGTATTAATATTGGTTTATTTATATAGTGCTGCTTATTATTTTTTGTGAGCTTATATACACGTCCACTGGAAGTAACCGCTGGTGGCCGACCCCCGCGAGTCTAGACGGCTAGGCTTATCAGCGAAACTTCGTTGCAGGATTGGCTGATCAGCGACTAACGGCAGTATCAATTGCATAGAATATATTTTATATTTATTTACCATTAACTTTTATGCCTTCATTGTTACTTATAACCTTTCTCATGAAGAATTTTGAATATATTAAACAATGTTGGAGAAAGAAACAGCCATGTCCTACGACCTTGAGAACAAATTTATATTTTGCGCGCTGTATGTTTCTTAACTCTCTTTTTTTTCAATTAGGAGACTAATTTCATTCATAAATAAATTACAATACTGATACTTATAAAGCTTAAAGGTATCACGCAGTCTTGTTTTTGAAAATGTTAACGGTAAATCTTCCATTTTCGTGTGACGTGATACAAAATTTTTTCAGATGGAAATTGTGTCTCAGGCCCTAGGGATGCACAAGAAGTACAGTGCATACATGACTACTGCTGTGATGTGGATCTTCATGCTGATGGCTGTAAGAGGTACAGTACATACAGTACAATACATAAAATTTGTAGCATGTAAAGTCTCTAAAGTTTGTTTATTGATAACTCGTTGGTGTGAATAAGTGTAAACCCAAATTGAAGTGTCTAATTTTAGCATATTTTATATATTTACCAAAGGAGCCGAGGCCATGGCCTACTTTCCATATCCAACAGATTTGCATTCTGTGCATTAAACGTTTTAACTGAAAACCCAGAAGAAAACAATTATCAGTCCTGTTTCATTTTCACAAGGCAGTGTTGTTACTCCGCCGACGGAGTACTAATATCAAACCTTCCTGTGATTTAAGATGCTGTTACTTTTGGCCCTCAAATTTCCAGCACATAACCTAACATTAACCAGTGACTCGGCCAGTTTTGAAGTTCATCCACGGTAGAACATTAAAAGAAAAAAAAGTGAACATCGCGGAATATTGTGTGAAAACTGAAGACTAAACACAGTTGGCTGGCAAATCTTCGATGGATCCCAAACCCAAGAATGCCCAACAGATGCTCATTTCTGTAAGGTATTGATGAGTATGATATACATATCTGTGTATGTGTGTTAAACTAAGGTAGGGTGTCTTAATATTTTCTTTTTATTTCATTCTTCCCATTAGTTGATTTATTTTTACACCATTTTGTTTTTTGTTTTTGATTGTTTTATCCCGAGTCTCATTCGCGTTAAGCAACCAACCCTACCAAATCCAACTCATATTAGTTACTCATTTATTGTAAATAATTTACAAGGGGGAAAAGTTGCGGAGCTATACGCCCTGTGGCAATCGGGATAACGTGCGAAACGACACGATACCCTGTGACACGTGAGCGAAGACCAGTGGGCATGAGTAAAAGCAGAGAGACTAGAGAGAAAGGTTGGTGGTCGCAGTTTGGCTGGGATAGCTCGCCCTCTCACATCCTCACCATCTCCCCTCCCAAACCACTACCGTGTCTAATGTAAGTAACGTTTTATTCTCCATTTAAAACACCCGTAGTCGGGATTTTATAATGGTGGGCTTAGTAAAAGGGACATTACTCTCCTCCCCATCTTCTCCACACCTGTTCCGTCGGCAAAAAAGTATCACAACATCAACCCGCCCCCCCCGTCAAAACGTTCTATTTGGATTCTCGTTGTAACACTGACGATTTAATTATTGAGTTCTGTTTAGCTGAAAGAAAATTATGCAAATCATTATTGAAAATACAACAAATATAACAATGGTAACAATCACAGGATAATTTTTTTGATAAAAGGCTCCCAGACTTGGGAGATTTTATTTGGTAGTGTAGGTTGTGGGATGCTTTGGCTTAACAAAAAATTCATTGTGGTTTCTCTGTATGACAATAAATAGAACACACAGTTGTAATAAACTGGTATAACACTTAAGACTTCAGAGTATCCGATTGTATACTTAGCCACTGTGACCAATTATGTTCCAGATAGTTCTCAGTTAAAACAGACAAAACCCTGCTATATTTTCTGTTTCATATGATCGTGAAACATAACTATCCTTAGAATGTAATATATGAAAGGACCATTACACCGTTGTACATACTACTGTGCATCGTTATGTGCAACAGGTTACTTGTTCAGTTTTCCTCGTTTATGCTTATATGTAGTAGGATCGTATGGGTTCATGGGTTGGGAAGTATAGGTATGAGAGAGAACAAAGATTAATTGACTTTTTGTAAGGAAAGCAAAGTGATAATTACTAATACATGGTTTCAGCATCACCTTAAGCAACTCATTCCTTATACTTGGAAATCAGGGCATCATCCCAGGATGATATAAACAATATTGTCGCGGGTAAATAGATGCAAAATAGATTTAGAAACTCAGTAACCTAAACTATGTCCTACCCAAGGGTACACGACGGTCAGACTTCACCCACGGAGATGTGAATTACAGGAAAGCGCTTGGTATTTTTTTCGCTATGTATTTATATCTACATGGATCGCGTGCACCTACAATGATTTATATATTACATTCATTGTGTCAAATCAGGCAGTCTGTAAAATACCCGTAAAAATGTTTCGTTTCATGTTGTTTAAGTTTATATATATATATATATATATATATATATATATATATATATATATATATATATATATATATATATATATATATATATATATATATTTGGAAACGTGGACAAGATCAATCTCGATAAAACCACGCAGGAAAAGGGAAACAATGGGTCACCTTAGCTTTCGTTTGTGTTATGTATTGTTTGTAGGTTTCTTTTATATATATATATATATATATATATATATATATATATATATATATATATATATATATATATATATATATATATGTTAGTATAATATGAAAATAACACTACTTACAGAACATGTTGAATTTTAGATTTTATCGAAATTATTGTACGGCAATTAAAAATTTACAACTTTTATGTATGCTGAAACCTATAGAGGATTAGAGTTGTTATTTAATTAGCATTTGGCCAAAAACCCACCCACAGGCTACCAACATATCACAAGGTATGCTTAGCGTCTCACATAGTTACTCAAACCATTTCTTTATAACAGTCTTAAAGATGTTATAATGTTTTTTTTGTTTTTTTGCTGACTACAGTCGTGTTAATCTGCTGAGTTCAGTTAGTAATTGTGACCTAAATCTGAACGCTAACACAGCCTAGCTACACATAACATTTTGTTTCATAGTAGGGCATATAATCCTTCAAGGTGGGTTCGACTTGTCTTTGAACCCCACTTGGATACGGACCCATAGAATGAACTTCGCTAGTTTTTCCCCAGCGAGTATGCCTGGGAGTTAAATCCGTTATAAGGAAGGAGCTGAGGGGAGCATATTGACGTTTACTTATCCGTCCTGGCCATGTCTTCAGGATTAATGCATTGTAGGTATCTTTGGATTACCTAATTGGATCTTCAAACTGTTTAATTTTTCATTGACACACCAACTCTTTTTTTTGTCATAAACGACATTTAATCGCAATGATTTTTATTTTTTTGTTACCGTTATCATATATTTGGAATCATATTTAAGCTTTTTGATACCCAAACTTAGATATTTTATGTTATTCACACAGTAATGGATATTCTAAACTGTGAATTCCAAAGAGGAAATTTCCATATTGTGATACTATACATTCCCACACGACTGTAAAATTACCCTGAACAAATGAATGTACGCTAATAAGCTCGACAAATTTAACTTGACTCGAAGTCTGAGGTGGGGGGAGCTGGTGGTAGAGCGGTACCGTTCTTGCCTCGCAAGCAAGATGTCACGTGTTCGATTCCCGGGCCGGTGGAAGTTGTTTGGACACTCTTCCTAGTCCCCTTGGTCCCTGTTCACCAAGCAGCAAAGTAGGTACCTGCTGTAAGTCGAAAGCTGCGAATTCGTGTTCAGGGACAAGTTGTTGGAACTTCCAATAACTTGCTTAGACATAAACCATTGACTCTTCAGGCTTCTACGCCCTTAACTCATGAGACATAAGGCAAGCATGAACTTAGCATGCTTCCCTGTTGGGCGCTGTAAACGCTTCTGCGCTTCACCTTACACAAGGATGTAGGGGGGGTGCCCAATAAATTAAAAAAAAAAAAAAAAGAAGTCTGAGGTGTTATTCACATATTAAGGTGAGACAGCAGGACTGACTCTCACCAGCTAACCAGCACAGCCTCGGTACCTTGTTTATTTTATACGATTCCTTTATGACTGTTTATGGGTTGTCTCAAGCAAACACTGGGAATTTAACTCCACACTTCTCAAGATTTTACACTAAAAAGAGCGGTATTTGTTTACCCCACAGTAAACATTATAGATAGATGTTAGTGTTGCTTTGGGTCTGTCACTAACTGGTGTGTGATAAACAAATTCTGACTCCAGAAAGTCAGTAGGATCAAGAAGCCAGTAAGACCACGAACAAATAAGGAGGTTGACACAGTGTGTGTGTGGCGGGAATACACACATGACCCACATGTGTGGATCAACGTGATGAGATTACATGAGATTACCTTGTACTGTCTTAACCCACATGGTGGTGCATGATTTATGAGGCGACAGACGATGTTTGTGTGGATGTCACTAGGGCACATGCATGAGGGGAGGTGGGGGTGGTTAAGGTACATTGTTTTCCTGGGGCGCGGAAAACTGAAGGGTCCGATAGACAAAGTCTCTGATACTGTAGTGGATTTATTGTCTGAATTTGGTAGAGAGTAGGGCAGATGCTTGATGAGTGTCGGCTGGGGACTGAACTAGGTATACTTGGGCTAGATACGGATATCGAAATCTCCCAGAACGGATTAATGATGCAGCGCCTATGGCTAGCAGCAATGAGTTGTGGTTGTGACACAATGAACTAACCCCCTACCCCATCCATTTGTTTAAGCCAAATCTAAAAACTAAGTCTGGAGCGCACAACCCCAAGGCCCCCTTAGTGTGCTATCAATGTTTCAGGTCTCTAGGATTCATGGTCTTGGAGTTGTGGGGCTTACTGGCTGACACATAGGCTCTTTTATTGTTGTAGATCTGCACTAGTAATGTAATTGTTAACACTTGTCAAATAATCAACAGGAAATCAAGTTCGGAGGATCGGCGAACGAAAGATTAAATTAATCCTTGGTTAGTTTTTATTGGTTAAGAAACTTGCAGAAACCAGCTTAACAGTTTTTCAGAGATTTATTGCAGTGATACGTGAACATAAATTTACATTAATAGTACAGTAATAAGCAGTGCAATACAATACTGTGATCAGTACATGTAACTTGTCTAAGGTATTTTATTAGAGGAACCATGAGGTGGAGTCTGACAGTGCTGGCCGTGATGGTGACGACGGGATGTACTGGCCTGGAGTTGCTGGTGTATCCTTCGGACGTGTTGCGAATTCCTGAGGACACCTTACACAACCTCACACTCTCTCTCACCTTCAACACTACCCAAGCCTTCGACGCCGCCCTCAACAGGTCGGGGTCGGTGCTGGTGGTGCGGGTGGTGCCGGACGAGGAGTGGAAACTGAAGATCGTGAATACGCCGGTGCAGTTCACGGCGCAGGAGGTGACGGAGGCGGCTTGCAAAACCGTAATGGTTAGCGGCTACTACTGGGGCCACACCAGACTGAGCTTCTACCTCACCGTCAACCACGTCGACGACCAGTTCTTGCCTGGCGTCCTCTTGCGTGATGACGTAGTGGTGAGTGTCCTTACATACACCAGGTGTGATAGTCTACTCCAACACCAGGTGTGGTAGTCTACTCTAACACCAGGTGTGGATGTCACTACACCAGGTGTGGTAGTCTACTACAACACCAGGTGAGGTAGTCTACACCAACACCAGGTGAGGTAGACTACCCTGGTGTTTAATAAGAACGAAATGTGAAGAAACTTTGCAGGTAGGTATTGTGGTCACAACCAAGGTCAATACTGTATACGCCAGGTCGGTCAGACGGAAGTCCCAAATACTGTACGCTCGCTCTGTGCATTGTCACGTGAGCCTGTCCCTCTCCCAGTGAGCCGCCACACTTAAGAACATAAGAATGGAGGAAACTGCAGCGGTCCTATTGGCCCAAACTAGGCAGCCCCGTTTACACCCAACCCCAATCGCTCATATATCTGTCCAACCTATATTTGAAGCTACTTAGCATGTTCGAGTTAATGATAATGTTTGGTAACTTGTTCCACTCATCCACTACTCTATTTCCAAACCAATGTTTACCTATCTCGCGCCTAAATCTAAATTTCTCTACTTTAAAACCATTGTTACGAGTTCGCTCCTGGTTGGATAGTTTGATTACATTTGATATATCAACTTTGTTTAGTCTTGACTTACATTTATACACCTCAGTCATATCGCCCCCCACTCTACGTTTCTCAAGCGAGTGCAAATTAAGATGCTTTAACCTGTCTCTGTACTCAAGGTTCCTAATGCCCGGGATTAGTCTTATCATCCTTCTCTGAATGCTTTCTAGGGATTCTATAATTATCCATTATGTAGTACGGTGACCAGAACTGAACCGTGTAATCCAAGTGGTCTCGCTAGTCTTGTAACTAACACTCCTTTGTATGAATCCAAGTACTTTGTTAGGTTTGTCTCGCGTAAATACCTATTGTTGACTTGGTTTAAGATTCCAATTAATCTTTACTCCTTAATCTTTCTCAGTCGGATTTCTCGATAACAACGTTGTTTATCCGATATCTGGTTTCTTTGTTTACATCTCCAAGACTAAGTACTTTACATTTGTCCACATTAAATTTCATCTGCCATTTTTCAGACTATTCGAAAAATTTGTTTAGATCTTCCTGTAGTTTTGCGGAGTCCTCGTCAGATTTAATTACACGCCCTGTTTAAGTGTCGTCGGCAAATTTACTTATGTTGCTGTCTACGCCTATATCCATGTCGTTTATGTATATAATAAATAGTAATGGTCCAAGTACTGAGCCTTTGGGTACTCCACTAGTGACATTACCCTATGCTTCTTCGCTGTTTCCTGTCCTGTAACCACGCCAAATCTATTTTAGAATATCTCCTCCAATTCCATTAGCCTCCACTTTTCGTGTTAGTCTTTCGTGGGGAACTCTGTTTATAGTTACTTTTATTTCACTGGTTATTTCTTAAGATTGCAGGTGTTGGTGTTGCAGGTGGTGGTGGACCGCAGTGCCAAGTTGCTGGACTCTTTCTTCATTATGGGCGTGACTTTGTTCCTCATCTGTAACACTGTCAACATGGGATGCCAGCTCGATCTGAAACTCATCTGGCAGGTGCTCAGGAAGCCGGTGGGGCCCGTTTGTGGCTTCCTCTCACAGTTCGCCTTCATGCCCGGGGTAGGTGAGGCACCAGTGACCGGCTGCCTGCACACAACTTCACTCACTATTTCCATGTTTCAGGTATTTTGTACAGTGATTGGTAACGAACATCCTCCAATTTTTCTATGGGTCATTAGATACAGGAGGAACACTATGTGGGAGACCAGAAGCAAGGTGGAGGGAAGTACTGGGTGACGTCACACTCACACTCTTCTGAGGGGGGGGGGGGTCCTGGCAGTTAGGTTGTGTTTAAAAATCTATCAAGTCCCCACCCTGAAACCGATACATAAGATCTGACGTTATATATCAAAGTATTGAATCATGATTCATATATTTATACAGTTTGTGTTGAAATGAGTCGTCCTAAATAATGCAGGTATCAGTATATCAAATATCAGGTTTCATAAATTAGAAATATGACTAACGATACACCCTACATTAGGAGCTCGGGGTGTTGAGATTGAGTGTTTTAAATCTTGCTGGCCATAGCTAGCAGAGGACAGCAGTAGTAGATGTCTTATTGAAGTGGATAATGACCTTAACTAATATCTTGTGCCCGGGGAATAAACACAGTCATTCTATTGGAGTTATATATGTAAATAGCTATCATTGTAATACGTACTACTTAAAACGTGGTTAGTGAAGGAAAAAAGTCAATTAAAATCAGTTCCCGATCAAGAGTTACAACAGTAGCATCTGAGGATATCATACATATTGCATAAGTTTATTTTGACTTGGAGTGCGAGTACACGTGTACAACGTAACCTTTGTATGACGTAAGAACCGGTACTAATAAAGATGTACAGTAGCTAAAACAACTATCTGTGCATACTTTGTGGGAAACATTATGAGACCATGGACAATAAATTTTGGTACATGAGGGCTGTCACTACTCACGTAAAATTTCGGAGCATATCGACCCCCACCTGCACAGATAGTTGTAGCTGTCTACTGTACCTACTACACACTGCTGACGTGACTTTGTAGAGTGTTTTGAGCACAATAAACCCGGAGTAGTACTGTTCAGTAGTCTTGCGGCTCGTGTCAGAAAACTTGATGCCTGATGATGGCGAGAGCAAGTTAGTACCGGGCACTCTATTATAATATGTATATGGTATGCCGTAGTGGTTCAATTTGTGTAACAGACTGGATTATTCCTGTTACACCAGATGGTTTACACACACACACACACACACAAACACGGACACGGATGAACCAATCTACTATAACCATGTTCAGATTCGAGCTCCTCACCCCTTAAGGGCAAGACAGTGGTACACTCGCAGTTACTCACGTCACTAAGGGTGGCAACACACATTCACTGGCCTGGATTCAAACATTTACTGACACATGCTGGTGAATTTCACGTCTGAATAAATATTAATCTGGACGGTGTCTTGGTATCGTTTTATTCAGGAATGACTGGGGGCGTTGCTGCTGGGGAGACCAGGCGACTTTAATAAAAAAATAAATAAATACCGTTTGATAATATAAAAATATGATGAAGTATAGTACCGGGTTTATAGTATGACATCGTAAACACACTTATAAATGATAATAGTGTTAATGATAATGATTAAGGACGATAGTGATGTTTTTTTTCCCCAGGAAGGCCGTTAATATTGTTATCACGTTCTAGTTTTTGTTTCGCTATAATTATGGCATCATGGATCAGGTTGTGAGTTGAAGCATTTTGCGTACTGTCGTGTAAAACAATGACGTTATTGGGCTAAATCGACGTCATAGTATAGTTACTTCATGATTTTTGACGTCACGAGTTACAGGATGCTACTATATATAATATATTACGTTATCTGCTGTAACTCTTGACATTAAAGGCATTATCCACCTCAATTATTGAAAGCAATAGGGCGATGCACTCTCCAAAGTTCGTAAGATGAATTTTTCCTGGTAAATAAAGATGTAAAAATACACCTAAGTGGTTAACTTAAAAGCACAAATACGATAACCAAAAACAGGGTTAAAATTACACTGAGACTCTACCTTAACTATAAATATAAATACTTTCACTTAACACCTGTTAGGAGACAATAATAACGTATCGGAAGGAAGTGGTATCAATTATGGTCAGGTAAGTGCTGTATATGGCAAATAAAATGAAAAATAAATTACGGAACACGTGAGAGAATGAAACGAAAGAAGCAGTTGCCTCAAAGAAGCAATAATACACAGGATAAAAAATACGATGATAAATTTTCTCACTATTAATGAAATATTCAATATTTACAGTTATGCATTTTGTGATCTATAGTCTGTTCACTCGAGCTCTGTAAGTGAAGGTTAGTGTCATTTTATAGCAAGGTAGCTGATAGGCTGTCGGACGGACACGCGAAGTCACTATAGAGTTGTTAACGCTCATAGGAGCGTTATTGGTTTGTGCTGGATAATAAGACCCTTGTCGTTGACGCGATGAGTGTAATTCGGTCAAAACCTGTTAAAGAACAATTCACATATAACAAAGGCTGATACATCAGGACACAGTTTGTATAATATGATCAATATACAGTACATGAATACACTTATTAAAGTTATTTAGAGTTCTTAGAGGATTTAATAGTTCACAATCATACTCACGTTTTGGGGTCTAGGGTTTGACCAACGAGAACAAATATAATATCCACCTGGTAGCTGTTGTCTCTACAGTAGAAGGCGATAGACTGTCCGCCACAGCTGCTACCAGTGTGGCCGACGCGCCCATTTAAACACCTCAGTAAAATTCGTCGTACTGCTAATGAATATGATGTATTTCCTTCTTTGTGTACGAACCTCTGTCCTGCATGGCAGTGAACAGTGGCATTACCCACATGAATCTGACCTATATATAGTGTCAATGAATATGATGCATCTCTTTGTGTACGAACCTCTGTCCTGCATGGCAGTGAACAGTGACATTACCCACATGAATCTGACCTCTATACATGTATAGCTGTTAATGAATATGATGTATTGCTTTGTGTATGAACCTCTGTCCTGCGTGGCAGTGAGAAGTGATACCACCCTCAGTGTCAAGACCTGACTGAATTACTCAGAATAGGCAAACTGTACTACAAGCTTTGTCAATAAATTTGTTAAACTAACTAAACGTTAACACTGTCTCTCCTCTCACCCTCTCTCTCTCTCTCTCGTCTAGTTTATCTTACTGTGGCTATCCCTCTCTCTCTCTCTTCTAGTTTATCTTACTGTGGCGGTAACAATAGCTATTTAGTATTTAAGCTTTGGTATTTATTTTCTGATATCTTAAGGGACGATAACATTATGTGTTGATCTATGATACTTTCCGCAGTTGGGGAAAAATTAACATGAAACGTACTGTGTGACGTCACGCTGCAAGGGCGTTTCCATTGCTAAACTTGTTCATCGTCTTCGTGTTCCCGCTATGATATTTTTATTACAAGAGCGTTTCACATGCTAATTTTTGCTTCTCCAAGTGCGAAATTTGTCAGAGATCAACACAAAAGTTACAATCCCTTAAAATATCAGAACTGTAGTGACTCCGTTCGCTACAAACTGACCCTAGGCCTGTTGCAAAGTTTGAGTGAACAGACTATAATGATATACAGCAAATATTTTTTCACATCCCACTCTACAGTAGTTCATACTAATTTGCAAATATTGAACACTAAGCACGTGTTTTGTTTCCTTTTACCAGTTTTCGTACTTCTTTCATATCCCACTCTAGTTTATTATTAATTAGTAAATGTTTTTGTTTTACCAGTTTTCTTATTTAATTGGATGGTTGATCTTTGAGGACCCGTTGCAACGTCTCGGCTTGTTCACGCTGGGGTGTTGTCCTGGCGGTATCCTGAGTAACTTCATCACCTTGCTGTTCAGTGGTGACCTTAACCTCTCTGTCACCATGACCTTCATCTCAACGTTATCTGCCATGGGTATGTCGGTGTGTTCCTTAAGTGGCAGTCATTGGTAGGTTTACTTGTCCCCAGTGACAGATATGGGTAGGTTGTGTCAGCATTGAAAGTCATGGTAAGAGTAATATTAGCATGCTAACAGATAGGGGTAAGATAAACACACTTCATATTGTTAGACATGGGTAAAATTCAATATTGATTTCAGGTTTGCACCATTGCAGCGCGGGCTTAGTTTACACCCTGGCAAAGGAGAAGCGCTTACAGCCTTTGTCAAATACTAACAGACACATGTGGATCAGCTCTTGGGTCTTGTAATCAGTTACTTATTAAATTTCTGGTTTCCCCAGCTAGCAGATAACTAACACACACCACCAACACTAACATTTTCAGCAAAAGGTTATAAATGCTCATTCCTCCAGACGACTTGATTATTTAACTTGGCCAATCTTGCTTCTTGAATTTGATTAGTTCTGTTCTGGGGAGTTACAGGTATGATGGATATGTAGTGTTGTATGTGTGATGATAATGTTGGCGATATGGTGCCTACGGGGTGTTGCAGGAATGATGCCGCTCTGGATGTATACACTGGGTACCTCACTCACGAGCGAGAACAATTACATGAAAGTTCCCTTCGCTAACCTGGCCATCTCCCTTGTCTCCCTCACTGTACCCACTGGCATAGGCATGTTCATTAAGTAAGTTGCTCTTAATTTTTTTCCATTTTCTCTTCTAGTTAAAAACAGACATTTAGTTAATATTAATAATTAAAATAACTGTACAATAACTCGATATGTAATGATAAAAGATTCATAATTTGTGAACATAATACTATTACTTAGACGTTGAGTATGTGGCCATGTAAGAGTTCATGTAATGTGTTTGGGTTACAGGTACAAGCGGCCCCGGTGGGCAGAGATCTCCAACCGTCTGATCAAACCCATCACTGTGCTTATCCTCGTGTTATTTGGGGCGGTGAGTTACCTCTACCATCTCTACCATCTTCCCCCTCCTCTCTTGCCCATTACTGATAGCCACAACTGTATCACAACAACCACTATTAGTATTCAGGATCACTCCCCTATTTCTCTTGTGGTAAACATACTGAGTTAAAGATGAGATATGCATTTTTAGTTTACAACATGTTGCATGGAACATTAACTCTCAGAGAGAAGTAATTTCTAGACCTCAATAAATAATTACTGTAAATATTTTGTGAACTATCACAAGAGGTCTTTTACCAGTGCAGTATTTCCTGTCTTCCTGTTACAAAGAAGTATAAAGATAAGCCACCATATCAATAATATATATTATTTTTGCTTCATGACAGTATTTGTTCAGTTTTGTATCATCTTATCTTAAATGATATCTTTTTTTTTCTTTTACAATTATTTCATGATTCCTTTCATTATGTCAGCTTGAATATTCGGTCAACAGATTGGAGCATACAGTTCCTACAAGGCATTTTTAATGATGAATGGTGCAATGCTGTTGGCTGGATTGATAATAACTGTTGCAGGCTATGCCTTCGGTGCCATCATGAGCAAACTTTGCTGCCTCAAACGTGACAAGATCATCGCCATTAGCATTGAGACAGCATTTCAAAATGCAGGTGTTTGCTTCATTGTTCTCAAACTGTCTTTACCAACCCCTGAGAGGTGAGTTTTTGTCCACAATGTAACCCTGATACTTGTTAAACTGAGATCTATGTTTGTAAACTATCACACAGACACCTCTTAGACACTCATGCTGTTTCATAGATCACAATATTCTTAGAAACAAACATATGTGTGAAAGGAATTAGTGCCAAACATACAGGACTGTACCTGTCACCAAACAACTCTTTGTGTAAATGTTAAATAATGTGACACACCAAAGGAAGTGAAAGGACTGAAGTTATGAATTTTAGGTGAGGGTCCTTTCTTTTGCGACAGTTAGTAGTTTAGAATTTAATCCTAATTATCCTGTTAATCAAAACACCTTTAACCATTTACATGGGTGTATTTTATGGGAAATGGTATGCAGTGATGTTTTAATACAAAACAGGGAGGTACTACCGCCTGGAAAGATATTGAAAGCATAATGTGTTGTCTAATGGTAGACCCTGCTGCCATATGGCATCACAAAAATTGTGACCAAGTCCCAGGTTGCTGATCTGACTTTCTGCCTCATTTATACAAAATTTCAAGGTCTCAATTGTTTCTTTTACTATTGACAACACGACATATATTTATCGTTTCTCGCTATAATGATCTTTTTGGGGGGCATTTATTTATAGTCCCTTATTATTATTATTATTATTAGTAGTAGTAGTAGTAGTATATATATATTTTTATTTTTTATTTTTTATTATTATTGTTATTATTATTATTTTATTTTATTTATTTTTTTTATTATATACCTTCGCCCCCAGGCCCTGATGTGGGTCATTGACCTGTGCCCGGGTGGGCTAATCCCCTTAAAAAAGAAAAGAAAAAAGACTTAATCACTAATAGAAACTTACTTATCTCCGCAGTGACTTGGCTGCTCTCCCTGCCCTCGCACAGATCTTCCTGACCGCAGTGCCAGTCATGCTAAGTTACGGAGTATATGAAATAGCCAGACACTACTGTGGATGCTGCCCCACCCATGACACAAATCAACCAACAAACTTGACGCCTGATTCTAAAGATCCTACAGAATTTGTTGAGACATCGATATCCCTACTGAGTGGAGACAAGCACTGACAAAGAGGTTACCGAGAAAGTAGTGTTTGCAGAAGATCGCTTGTTTTAAATGTTGATATACTGTAGTTATTTCAAAGCCGAATTTACAAGATTTATGACCCTATGGTACCTGTAAAAGTATTATCACCCTGAGTTTATTTGGAACATTCCTACTAATTTTCGTTATAAATGAACGTAAAAAAAGGTAACTTCTAGAATGTAAGCTTGCAGTCAAAATTTAATATAAAACGGATTCCTCTGGTGGTCTAGTCCCATTGGAAAAGAAAAATATACTTGTCCCAAAATATAATTACTGATGGGAAATACAAGTCACTTGACCTAACAGTAACAGTGACTGAATTATGGCGTCAGAAAATATATGCCGAGGTATAACAGAAGGGGGTAATGTGGAGCTCCTGTAGCTCTACACTGTATGTCATAACCTAGGGTGGTAGTTGTCGGTATAAACAATATACAGTAATACAAAGTTTGGTGTAAATGCACCTAACGACGACCCTCACTCGTCTGTTACTAACACGTTAGAATATATTATCACAGTACTTTAATAGGAGTACAGTATTATAATATGTTAAGGGCATAACTTATACTGCACTTATTTATTAATGCTTTATTGTCCATTGCCTAGTGTAGTGAACTATCCGTTTTGTCTATCTCTGTTGTTGTGATAGCTTTTCCTTTTTATTTATATTAATGCACAAATATATCTATTATAATTAAGTGGGTTGCCTGTTGTGTATACTTCCTTTCATTTTCAAGAGAGTAAACACTGCTATATACTATAAATATTGGACCATCTGTACAGCTTATATCAATCAAAATAGAACACCAATACCCCAAATACTGTGTATCGTCCTTGACTTAACTCAGGATCATGTTCAGGTACATTCAAGAGGCCGTCCATGCCCAGTACAGTTACTGTACTGTACTTGTCAACAGTGTATAACAAAATAACTAATCGCCCGGTCTCCTAGTAATCTGACATGTTCCGACTTTCCCCTCTCATTAACTAAAGTCTTCTGAAACTTGTACACAAAATTTCAAATATTTGCTATAAAAACATTTACAAGTGAAAGTGTTTGCTTCCTTTCTTGTGAATACTGAGGAAAGGAATTTGCTTAACGACTCTGCCTATTCCTGATCCGAGTCTGTGTAACTACCATCTTCAAACCTCTGATCCGATACGCCTACTCGCGTTTTTAATTTCGATTTTGCGTAACGGTAGAAAGCCTTTGGGTTTGACTTGACTTCGCTTGCAATTCGCCTTTGGAATTCCTTTTCAGCCCTTTTACACTCTGACTTTTCATTGTTCCTGGACCTGTCCTACATCCTCCAGGAGCGCACCACAGCTGCCATTGAACGGAATGCACAGCACGTAGGACAACATCCGCCGCCGCCGCCCTGGTATATGCTTAAACCTTGTCAGTTCCATCCCCAAAATGGCCATATTCAAGAACAGTTATGGGGTGTACGACGCCATTTACATTGACCTTGCCCTGATCTTTTTTCAGCAATATCGCCTCTAACACATGGAACTGCACTTTTCGAAGCTTTGGAGGAGTCTCGAATCAAGTTTCCTGGTGGGAATTATTAGCTAGTACCTGTCGTATTCAAAATATCGAATCTTCGAGATCTCTCCAGAGCTTAGAAAAGGTGGTATTCCTGAAACAAGAACAGGGCAAGAAGGTCATCGTAAATGGCGTCGTACACCCCCTAACTGTTCTTGCATACGACCCCTAATGATGTCACTGATGCTCCAAGAGGTGGACTTCATAATGATGTAGTATCAAAAATAAATATCTTGAGAATAATATTTTAATTTTGCTCATATCAAGCGTTTGCAAATAATTCTTCGTGGTTTTGATTAATTGCATTATAAACTCATGAAGACCGACTATTTCCAGCATGGTCGCAACTTAATTGACTCACGTGCACTCTGAGCATATCGGGAATTTGCCATAACAATATTCATGTAACATTACTAACATTGGTAATAATTATGCTTCTGTTTTCATCTGTTATTTGCTTGATGGATTGATACTTCAACCCTTCGTATAATAAATATGCAATATATATCAAATTACACTATTTCATCGTAAAATATAGATTAAGATAAAATGTAGCATTTCTGTAACAGTTTTATATAATTTTTGATATGTTGTGTATTTAACATCCACACACAAGGTTTAATAGTTCAACACTAGCAGTGCAAACTCACGCGGGACTTAGTTTGACCTTGTGGCCCAGTCACAACAAGACGACGTCTCCATGCGTTGATGAAAAGAGCATCGTCTACACTGAATGAGTTATAAACAGAAACATAATGCTGGCTGGGCATTTTTCTTATTTGCCTACTGGCCACCCACCAGCGGTGGCCATGCCGAGGGAAGGCCAGTGGCATGTGTAGGATCCCTCCATTGTTCCTGATAATTTTGTCAAGGGTTGTTTTGAAGCCTCGTACTGTTCTCGATTCCACAGCTTGGGCTGGTAGACCGTTCCAGAGGTCTACTACCCTCTGTGTGAAAAAGTATTTACTTATATTCGTTCTGTATGATAACTTGGCGACCTTATAGTTAGTTATGCTCTCTTTTTTTTTCTTTTTTTTTTCTTTCAAGGATTAGCCCACCCGGGCACAGGCCACTGACCTACATCGGGGCCTGGGGGGCGAAAATGTAATACTAATAATAAACAATAATAATAATGATTCATAGTAAATAAAATTTATAATAAAAAATAAAATAATAATAATAACTCTAGTAGTAGTAGTAATAATAATAAAGAACCATAATACAAAAAATACAAAAATAAATAAAAAGTGAGAAACGATATACTGCATGTACTGTATGTTGTGTTGTCAATAGTAAGAGAAACAATTGAGACCTTGCAATTGTGTGTAAATGAGACAGAAAGTCAGATCAGTAACCCGCTGCCATATGGCAGCAGGGTCTACCATTAGACAATACATTATGCTTCCAATACCTCCCTGCTTGGTAGCTACCTGCTACCTACTGTACATCACAAAGAAGTGTCCCGGGCTTACGTTTTCCATCCCTTTCAGGATTTTGAATGTTTCAATGAGATCTGCCTTATTGTACCTTGTCTGAAGGGTTGTTAGTCCTAAGTCCCTCAGTCTACTTGAATTATCGAGATGACACAGTTCCGGAATCATCTTAGTCGCTCTGTGTTGCACCTTTTTTTTTGGAGGGGGGGGGGTGGTGTTAGATCTTTCTGGAGGGAGGGTTTCCATGCGTATATACAGTAATCCAGACAGGGTGCACTTGAGATTTGTACAGTTGAAAGGGCATTTTCACATCTTTGCAGTCAAAGATCCTCTTTATAATTCCCAAATCTCGATTTGCTTTCCTCACTGCTGCCCCCACAACGTCAAAATCTCCTTATCGATAGTATCCAGGAAAATCTTAGTAATATAATAGTTGTGATTAATGTTGTTATGTTCTACGTGTAGGATCACGCATTTCGTAATGTTAAAGAGCATTTGCCAGTCTCGAGACCATTTGAACAGTTCATTCAGGTCATTCTGCATTTTTTTTTATTGGGCACCCCCCTACATCCTTGTGTAAGGTGAAGCGCAGAAGCGTTTACAGCGCCCAACAGGGAAGCATGCTAAGTTCATGCTTGCCTTTGTCATTCTGCATTGCTGTGACATCGTCTTGACTTGCTACTTTCCCAAATATATTAGGGTTGTCCACAAACTTGGCAGTGTGGCTTGATATATTTTCATCTATGTCATTTTTGGAGATCACAAACAAGGTTTTTCTGCTGCACTTTTCCTACCCTCTTTGCATACTGAGATGACGTTGGCTAATTTCCGGTCCCAAGGATTTCTTTGGGGTGCAAATCCCGTTTGCCACCTCATTTATCACCTTAGTCTGTGCTCCGTTCACTCCTGGAGCTTTGAATTCTTTCAAACTGGTTACTTTCTTTTTGATGATATCGTCTGTAATTGCTATCTCTCTTAATTAATTTTCCATCCCTGAGTTATACATTGTCTTAGGTACTGGTATGTTATCCATTGTGTGAATACTGATGCGAACTATTGATTTTGACTGAACACGAAGTACTGTACATGAATTCGTCACACGAGTCAGGAAAGATGAGCCGCTTATTCTGTTTTATCCCAGTTATATATGATTTTTAAGAATCTAACCAAAATATATCTCCCAAAGTTAACCAGATGTGTGACAGACCGGAAGAAATTTGTCTTTAGGGCAACACGGACACGAAGGGAAGGAGAGATTGTGGAAGGCGAGCGGGACGAGGGCAGGGTGACCTGAGCTGAGGAAGGGGAGGCTCCTCTATCTCCCAGTACATGTGTACCTCCACACGGCATGTGAACGTAGGCTAGTGTGTGTGTGTGTATTGCTTAACATAATAGTAGGGGAAGTAGCACATGACACCAGCGATACCTACAGATTTATAATCGATACTGAATCCAATACTTGTGTTTTATAAGAAAGAATACTGTAATAGTATTTTTTTTATAGCAGGAATATCTGGGTATGTTGTAGAGCTGTTAATTATAACTAGAAGACATGCAGGAGGGTAGCTCCACTGTCGCTAGATACTAAGAATAAAAGATGAGCGGGTGAGAGACGTTCAAATGTAGGACGTATACGTGTATAGATGGCAAACACTGGATAGAGCAGCCGCCCGAACGGCTAGTAAGCTGATAGGAGGTGAAATTAAAAAAAAAAGGAAGCGGAGTTCAATCTGAGTTCAAACAAGCGCGAGATAAACTGAACCACACCAGAACACTGACTGTTAGAGTAACGAGGAAAAGGGGGGGATTTTTTTTGGCCAGTGAAAATTAAAGAGGAATAAGATGCTCTTACCAATTTCAAGAGAAACCAATCCAAGTAAATGTGTAATTTTATTTAATATATTATTCAAGGACTAAATATTTCAGATAATAGAAACAAGAATGGAAAATAAAGCCAAGTTCAATGTTGTATTGGCTCCAAAGGAGAGTGAGTATAGTTCAAGGCCTACCAGAACCTCCCCCCCCTCCCCGTCTATTTAACTGCTATTATTTTTGGTTGGTACCTATATCTTCCAAAAACCATCTGATATACACGCGATATCTGGTTGCAGATACCCGATAATGGGAAGCAAAGATGGCCACCAAGCGTCGTCCGTGAAATTTATGAAAAATGTAACTTTTGGTCCAATTGGCCTACGAACATCTTTATGGGGCTGATTTCCACTAATTTGGGAATGGGAAATTAACTGGTGACATTACTTTTGCATTTTGTTGGCATCTTCGTGCCCAAACACCCTAATTAGTAATAAAGAAGGCTAAAAAAAATACAACTCAAACATCCATGTTGTTTCACCTCCCGTCACAGTCATTTCACCATTCATGCATTGCTTGCGATATTAATCATATTTCATTGCAAATACCTGAGAACAGAAATGAATGATAGCCAATTTGCACCTAAAAGGCTAATATAAGACTCACTCAGGGTTAATTAAAGGCTAGAAGTCCTACTATTGTTGCTAAAATGTCCATAAATACCACATATTCAAAACAGAGTTGAGTAACAAGACAAACTCCATCGATAAAGTCGGGTAAATAGGAATGTTAATAGTCCATCTCACAATAAGCGTCTTCAAAATTGCATGTTGGAGGCTCTTCATCATTGTCATCTGCAGCAGAAGGGTTGGTGACCATCAGTTCCGTCAGATCTGTTGGTATGATCTCACTGTGGGTCCACTGGAACCGGAGTGAGCCTCGCTCAATGACCCAGCCATGATTTAGTGGAGACTGCAGTTATGGATAAGCAACAAGTGCTCCTCCGTGCCTTCTATGGCAAGCTTCTCCTGCAATATCAACCCATGTGTACTATGTGTAGTGTCTCGTCCAGATGGTGTCTCTTCAGTGAGGTCGAAATTGTTAAAACAAATAGACCAACAAATTGTTGAGTGTTACTATGCTTGGGGGAAGAGGACCACTATGCTCTATCACACTTAGATAAACAGCAGACATTATTTCCAGCACTTTTGTATAGGAGACACAGTGCCCAAACCGGTTGAGAAGAGTGATAACATCTGCTTGCCCTGTCAGATGCCACAGAGACACATCAAGCATACTATGCTTGCAGGTCATCCAGTGTCCATTAGTGATTGCATACATTGTGTCATGTGATAGTGAGGTTGCCACTCTCTGCTTCTGGTCTGACAACTGTTTCTCTTCAGACAGAAGGGACTGCATAAAGTGCAACAAATGTTGGGGCGGAGAAGTTTGGTCACGTAAGGTGTGACCAGGAGGTGGTGGCCAAGGCAGCTCAAATGACTTTGCATGGTCTAGCACTTCTCTCCTCAAAATGAGTGCTGGTTCTTCAAGGATCCTTGAGTTTGAGGCAGCAGCTTCGAATGCAGCCTCTACTGCCTTACCTTGTGCAATGTTGGACGAATACACCAATTCACTGCGGTAGTTTGGTTACCAGAATTCAATAGAGCGACAAAAATGGTTGAATAACTTTGCCTCGAATTTACATGTTTTGTAATTTGGATTGTAAAACTGTGAATGGTGATTTTGCAGGTACCGAAGATATCTCTCGTAACATTGTGATTCGTTCGACACTATATCCTTGGATGATCTGCTTCTCGACATGCTCACATATATGCTGGATTGCAGCTTCATAAGCAACTAATGCTTCTTTGGCATGAGCCTCCACACCAGTTTGTGTAGATGTGGAGCCTCTCTTCGGGGTAAGTATGCTTCATCGCAAGATTTGTGATATTTTGCTTCCTTTGCTACGAGATCCAGGTCAAGCAGACACAGGATTTTATGGTCGTGTGTTATTTGAGCTTTCTCCTTTATATCAGATTCTCGACTTCTAGATGTCAGCTTCATCAATGGATCATATATCTGATTATGTTTCTTGACCCTTTTTGAGCATATAAAGCGTTGATCTTGGGGCAGAAGAGTTGTAGTTGGGGAGACAGGATTACATTTCCGCCTTTTCCATGGACTTTGGACTTCACCATCCACCTCTACTTCATCATGCTAACGTTTTGTAATTCTATAAGTAGTCGTGAATCAAATATAAAATTTTCGGTGATAACCATGTTGGTGATGGACAATGGCATCTGGAAGAGCTTCACACAGTTCATTGCACATTTCAGGGTCAGTTTTTCCACTTAGTTGACAGATTCTTGCAGTTTTTATTATTGATCTAAAGATTTCTTGGCTATTGGGATTGATCTTCTCCTTCGATGTTGGTGTAAGCATATGATGCAGTCAAGTGTATTCTTCTTAAGTTCTTTTTGAGTTTCATTGGCTTCTCGTCCGCCATTTTCACATCTTACTGAAAGACAAAAAAAGGTAAATGATTTGGTAAAAAATTTGCTAGTTTTAGACTTTCCGGCGACCATTTTGGATTTCTGGGCATGATGATGGCAGCAAAATGCAAAAGTAATGTCACCAGCGAATTTCTCATCCCCTAATTAGTGAAAATTAATCCCTTAAAGATGTTTGTAGGCCAAATGGATCAAAAGTTAAATTGTTCCTAAATTTCACGGACGACGCTTGGTGGCCATCTTTGCTTCCCATTATCGGGTACCCGCAACCAGATATCGCGTGTATATCAGATGGTTTTTGGAAGATATAGGTACCAACAAACCAAAAATCATAGCAGCAGTTAAATAGACGGGGGGGGGGGGCCTTTTCGGTATCTGGCCACCGGTCTAGTATGGTTAGTGATAGGATATTGTTGTGATCTGTGAAGAACGAGGCACTAAAATATTTATGAAGACGAAGTAAACTAGTAGCCTAAACTCTTGGCTCCTGGAGGGCTCCCTAAGCAGAATAAGTGTTAAATTTGTCTTGCAATTGACAGATGGTTACTGGTACATTTTTCAGAATTGGTAGATGTTACCAGTATGTGAAGACTGTGAATTCAAAGTTGAGAATTATGCTTTAACTTTGTGCAGGTAGCGAGGCTGAGGAGGGGTGGTAGTTATGGAGACTGGTGTTGTCTACACGAATCTGTACAGTTTTGGCAGTAATGGAAGGAAACTGAACGACAGATTAAAGGAACTAAACCTTGGTGCACTCAGCACTGATATGAAAGGTGGACTGTGATCGTGTAAAGCTGCTCAACACCGTTTGTGTTGAGCACAAAGAAAACAAATGTAAACTATAAAGGTTATATAATAACATGCAGTAAAATCCCAATACCAGGATTTGGCGAATCTTTTTGAGACATGTGAATCGGTGTCGGAATGATTAGTTTAATGAAGAAACTGATGTAAAAAACAAATAAAGGTGAGCTTTTGTCAGTACAACCTGGACGATGATATTATCACTAATGGTTGACGACAACTTGGTGGAGCAAGACAACTGTAGCAACATAAAGCTTCTCATTACCGGCATGCGGGAAAAAAAAGAGACATTCAGTAGGATTCATATTCTAGGTTGAAGGTGGTGGTTTTGAGGTGAGGGAGGTAGTGGTTGTAAGGTGAAGGAGGTGGTTGCTTAGTAGAGCGATGGGTGGGGGGGGTGGCGTGCTGGTGGTAGAGTGGTACCACTCTTGCCTTCACGAGCGAGATGTCACGGGTTCGATTCCCGGGCCAGTGGAGGTTGTTTGGACTTACTTCCTAGCCCCCATTAGTCCCTTTTCACCTAGCAGTAAAGTAGGTATGTGGTGTAAACCGAAAGTTGCGAATTCGTATTCAGGGAGTTGTTGGAGCTTTCAATAACTTGATGACATAAACCATTGACTCTTTGGCTTCTATGCCCTTGTCTCTTCAGGCTTCTACGCCCTTAACTCATGAGACATAAAGGCAAGCATGAACTTAGCATGCTTCCCTGTTGGGCACTGTAAACGCTTCTGCGCTTCACCTTACATAAGGATGTAGGGGGGTGCCCAATAAAAAAAAAAGTAGAGGCGGTGGTTGTATGGTTAGTACTGCTGTATGGATAGTGATGCTTTATGAATAAACTTTGGTTTACAGCATTGGATTACTTTTCACTTTTAAATATTTATATTAACCCAATAAGTATGATAAAAAAGGTGACAATGAAGATGATACGTGTATTTACCAAGTTGTGGCGAGTGATGTCAGGAAGTCTAAGGTGTGTTCTCATAAATACTGGAAGCAAGGTTAAGGTACGCCGGAAAGCCAGTGCCCATGTCAATATTAGTAATGGAGGAGAACCTCGCACTATTAGTGTTGAGAGGATGGCGGGCATCAGCTCAGTGAAGGAGTGTGTCCCTTGGGCCTTGGTGACCATTAACCCCCCTGATACTGAACACCCGGCGGTAAAGTACTATGTCCAATAAATGAAAAGTTTCATTCAAATAAATTTCGTCAATTGACATTTTCTGCAGCACCAGACAGAATACTCCATCCCGGAATGTCTCGAGAGCAGGACGACAAGATCTTAAACTTAAGGGGAAAGGGTAACTCACAATGAAAGTTGAAGAGTCGTTTCGGCTAAATAACGACAGTAACTACAAATTATCCTGTGACAATGATTTCAGTCTATTATTCAACACAAGAAAGAATCTTTAATTATCTGAAACATTTAGTTTTGCAAGGTAATATAAGATCGAAAGATAATTCGCGTCAGACGTCATTCAACATACGCCCGGCAGCGGTGCGTGACCGTAAGGTTGAGAGTGGAGTACAGTGCACAGTGGTCAGCCCTGGCCTCCCGAGCCCCTGCCCCACCTCAGTGTTGTCATGCCCAGCAAGTAGTGAGGATCATGACTCGCCCGCGTGTGAACAGGACTTCTCCTAGCTTCTTGCTAGAACTTACAGTGCTGTTGTGCTCTGTGTGTAGCTGTCTTGGACAGTTGTATCAATTTCCATTCAATGAGATCCAACACGGACAACTAGATGTTGTTGAACCGATAGAACCAGAAGTTAGAGGACGGAGTTCCCGCTGCTACGATGACAGAGGCAATGCACAGGTAGGTGAAGGCTGGTTAACATTTTTGAATGTATATTTTATAGTGGTGAGTGCGAGGTGAGGCCCACTTTGTTGTGGTACAACACTACACAACAAGCGCACGGGTGAGTCACGTTTGTACTCATGACAGCTCCATATTCCCCACTAAACCCAAATCTTAGCTTGGTGTGTGGCGGCATCGTTTAGTATTGGTGTGGGTGAATGGTTATAGTTGGAGAAGTGTGCGTTATGCTGGGCTTACACCTGAGTGCGTTATGCTGGGGTGAGGCCTGAGTTCGTTTTGCTGGGGTGAGGCCTGAGTGCGTTTTGCTGGGGTGAGGCCTGAGTGCGTTATGCTGGGGTGAGGCCTGAGTGCGTTTTGCTGGGGTAAGGCCTGAGTGCGTTATGCTGGGGGTGAGGCCTGAGTGCGTTACGCTGGGGGCGACGCCTGAGTGCGTTACGCTGGGGGCAACGCCTGGGTGCGTTACGCTGGGGGCGACGCCTGCGTGCGTTACGCTGGGGCGACGCCTGCGTGCGTTACGCTGGGGGGCGACGCCTGCGTGCGTTACGCTGGGGGGCAACGCCTGGGCGCGTTACGCTGGGGGGCGACGCCTGAGCGCGTTACGTTGGGGGGCGACGCTTGAGCGCGTTACGCTGGGGGGCGACGCCTGGACGCGTTACGTTGGGGGGACCCTGGTTGTGATATTAAGGTTTAGTGTTCCAGATGTAAGCAACTGTCGAACATATGTTAAAGTTTTAGTATAGATTGTTGATGTTATGACGATACCGATGATATATCACAGAATTGGGTTAAGCTTGTATGAGTAACGTTAGACGTGTTTCCTTAAGTTTTGGTCGATATATACTGGAAGTAGTTGTGAGATGCACTTGATGGTATAGATCCGTTGTGAAAGTTTATCTCCATCTCATTTATTTCTTGGCATCCTTCTGAAAAGTAATGTGCGAGTATATCCACTAGCGTAGCTAGGGGGGGGCGGGGGCGGTCCGCCCCGGGCGGCACTTTTGGGGGGCGGCACTTTTGGGTCTGCTCATCACCCATATCTGCAGCTACTGGAGACGTTAATCCATCCCTTTGTATCGGCGGCAAGTTAATCCTTCTCGTGTCTGACCTAACACCTGACCCACATCATCACGGCCACGTCATGAGCTACACCCTTGCTATGCGACCCCCGCCACACACACAACCTGTAACCTGTTGAGGATTAAGGAAACAACTTCAAACAAGTACGCCAGTGAGCTCATGTGGTGTGGGTCAGGTGTTAGGTCAGACACGACGAGGATTAACTTATAAAGTTTAAGTATGTTTGGTGTGTATTTAAAGCATACTATATTTGAGTATGTGAAAGTACAGTAATATTATAATGGTACACAAACTATTTAATGTATATATATATATATATATATATATATATATATATATATATATATATATATATATATATATATATATATATAAGAGTGAGTCACTGTGCAATATGTATTTTTGTGGGGGCACGGGGGCAAATTCAAGGGCCGCCCCGGGCGGCACACACTCTAGCTACGCCACTGAGTATATCTTATAAAAGTTGAAGTGTATTTGTGGTGGTGGTGGCACACAGCAACAGATGATGATGACCCAAGTGTTGTTAGGTTTAAGTTTGATGTGTTTTTAACGGCTTCTTGAACAAAGTTTAAAAAAAAATCGGTAACATGGTTCAGAGCAGCTTTCTTTTGGTATTTTTAAGGTGCTAATTTCAAATCGGGCAATAAAAATCCTCTGGTATGTACAGTTTATTTGCTATAAATAAATTACAAATTACAAATACAAAAACAAAAATAAAATTTTTCCTGATATTCCCGCTACCATTTTCAACGTCATCACACTAAAATTCAATAGAGAATGAAAACAATCATGAGAAGACACAATAAGTATTAAATTGGCCACTGTTTGGGCATTTGTTATTTTATTTCGTCCTTTTACGCGTTGTATTGTCCTCCGATTGTAAAAACCAGCAATAGTCCCCCGTCATGGCAGGATCCCATCTACCCTGGTACCTTTCCTCCATTCGTCTAATGTCCTGATGAAATCGCTCTCCCTGTTCATCTCTAACCGTCCCCAGATTCTCAGGAAAAGGTCCAAGTGCAAGTGTAGGAGGTGGACTTTCAGGGACATCCTGCATCCTAATTTTTTGTAGTTTCTTAAGAGTTCCTCTACAAGTTGGCAATCGTTTTCTTCCTTCTTGTTTACCCCAAAAACCCTTTACTACAGATGTGAATGATTTCCATAGAGCTAGCTTATTTTCTTAGTTTGTTTTCAAAGTCGTCATCACGAAGTAACTTTCTTATCTGTGGGCCAACAAAAATACCCTCTTTGACTTTAGCATCACTGAGCTGTGGGAATTTTCCCCTCAAGTACTCGAACCCATCACCTTGTTTGTCAATAGCCTTCACAAATTTCTTCTTTAGTCCTAGCTTGGTGTGTAAAGGAGGTAGAAGTACATCGTTTGGGTTTACTAAGGGAGTATAGTCAACGTTGCTTCTTCCTGGAAGAATGTCTTCTCTCTTTGGCCAGTCCTTTGTGTTGTAGTGTTTTTCTGTTGCTCTGCTGTCCCATAAACATAGAAAACAACATTTCGTGAACCCTCCTTGAAGGCCGAATAGAAGGGCTTATAACCTTCAAATCGCCGCACACCTGCCATCTCCTTGTATTTAATAGTGGTCAGTATTTTCTCCATACTATCAAACGTTTCCTTCAAACCTACAGAATGCGCTACTGGAACTGAGGGTTTCTGGTACCCATTATGTAACAATACTGCTTTCAAAGTAAACTTGGAGGAATCTATGAAAAGCCGCCATTCCTTTGGGTCATGTTTTTCTCCCAACTCTTGACATCAGTCCATCTACATAAGTACACACACAGAAGGAATCCTGCATACTGTAGAATGAAGATAATGTAATATTTATTTTCTTAATAACAGAATTTCTTGTCTGTTTCGCTAGCAAGTTCCATTCTTGCAGTCTTGATGCTAAAATTTCCCCCTGCTGTACAAGATCATGAAGTTCACTTTGTTCTACAAGATGTGGTTCATTGGAAGTCTGGTCAATGAAAGGAGGATCATGGGATGGTTCTGGGATTTCTTCCTCAATTTCCTCATCCGAGGTTGAGAGCTCTTCCAAATTAGCCAGTGATGTAGGTATAGGGAGGCCTTCTCTGCGAGGAACGGGACTTATTGCCGAAGGTGCATTTGGATACTCAATTTGGTGAATAAACACAGCATCGGCGTTGTATTCTCTCCATTCTCCTGTTCAGTATTGCTGACCATGCATTTAATATATCCCTACCAACACAATTAAGCATCTTATATTCATACACTACATATACACATATACCGTAAAAATGTTACGTGACTAACATTTTTCATTGCCATATTTGAAATCAGCTCCCCCCAAATTAATAATTTGCAGCGTATTTGATCCATGTTACCGAACCCTTGTCAACTAGTGGAGTTGAGCAATGTGTTTTTTCTGATGGTTTAGACAACTTTAAGATACTTTTCTTCTATGACGTTTCCCTCGCAAATTATCTAAAATTACCAAACGTAACCTCCTAACTGGGGGGCTCCGCTCCCCTGGATCTCCCAATTTATTTGTCATTTGTGAGGGAAACGTCATAGAAGAAAGTGTTAAAATTGTCTAAACCATCGGAAAAACACATTGCTCAACTCGAGAGCTGTGGTTGGTCAAAACTACAAATTGACCGTATTTTATGATTTAAAACAAATATACCTGTGCTTATCCTGTAAAATCGTGTCAAGAAATTGGTATACAGAGCTAAATTTAAAGTATACCATACATACTACATGAATGTACAGTAGTGCTGTGTCTTTCGTATACTGTACCTCAAAACGTGGTGTTAGGGTTTTTGCGTTTAGCTGATATTACCGGCCGCCATCAGTATACTTAATACTGAAATTAATTTTATACGAAAATCATTACTGTACACCCACTGAAAATTATTCGGCACCCTTACGGCGTGATACATTATGACACGGGTGCCGAATAATTTTTTTAGTGGGTGTACAATAAAATAAAATTTAGGGAGAAAGTAGTTGACTAATTTCCGTTGTAATATACTCCCCCCAAAATAAAGATATAGTATCATCATCATCATCATGGGAAAAGATGGAAAGGGGAAAACTGACCTGGTAAATAATAATAATAATAATAATAATATTAATAAATGAATAATTGCACAATTACCTAAAAAAAATATATACAAATTTTCTTCTAAAACACTGAAAGAAATAAGTTTTAAATTTAATCTTTCAATATTAGTCTGGTCACCAAGAGGTAGATTATTCCATTCTGTACCACCACTACACTTAACGCACTTTTGATAACCGTTATGAAGCAAACAATAAAAGCCACCTAGACTTAAACTACCTTAGTTTACAGGTAGGTTTGGGATTGGTTGGTTCTTGTGGTCTGTTTTATAAAATGTTTTCAAACGCTCGTCTTTTTCCTTGCTTCGTCACTAGTTGTGAAATAATACACGAAGAATGTAAGAGCACGGAACTGAATTGATCTTTTTACCATAGAACGACTTCTGCTAATGTGTATTACAAGGGGAATGACTTATGTTATGGCATAGTGGAATGGTTACGCTGCAGATTACAGATTGCCCCGGGGGGGGGGGGGTTAGTTTATTGGGCACCCCCTTACATCTTGTGCAAGGTGAAGCGAGAAGCATTTACCGCGCCCAACTGGGAAGCATGCTAAGTTCATGCTTGCCTTTATGATTCGTGCATTAAGGGCGTGGAAGCCTGAAGGGTCATAGGTTTTGTCAGCAAGTTACATAAAGTGACAGAATGATGAGTGTGTGGGGGAACGCTATGTTTTTTTTTTATGGGAATTAGCCCACCCGGGGACAGGTCAAACGACCCACAACGGGGCCTGGGGGTGGAAAAAAAAAGAACAAAGAAATTGAAAATAGAAAAAAAAAGTTATACTGTGTTAATCTAC